TGCATCGGGAAACACCATCTTAGGAGAAAAAGCTTTTAAATCCTCATCATCTTTTTCCACAGTAACATCAGAGTGTCAGAAGAAAACAGGTCTGTTTGATGGTCAAAAACTGGCTGTAATTGATACTCCAGGTTTATTTGACACCAGAAAAACTGAAGAGGAGGTGAAGGAAGAGATCAGTAGCTGCATCTTCCTTGCTGCTCCTGGTCCTCATGTGTTCCTGGTTGTGATTCAGGCCAACAGATTCACAGAAGAAGAACAAGAAACTGTCAAAATCATCAAGAACATGTTTGGAGAACAGTCAGCATGTTACACTATGGCCTTGTTCACCTACGGAGACAATCTGGAGAGGGATGAAGTCACCATGGAAAACATGATCATGATAATCCAGCTCTCAGTGGCTTCATCAGTCAGTGCGGCGGAGGATATCATGTCTTTAACAACATCAGAGTGTCAGAGGAAACATGTCAGTTTGAAGGTCAAACATTGGCTGTAATTGATACTCCAGGTCTGTATGAAACTAAACTAACTAAAGAGGAGGTGAAGAGAGAGATTGTTAGATGCATGTCCTTTGCTGCTCCTGGTCTTCATGTGTTCCTGGTTGTGATCCAACCAAACAGATTCACCAAAGAAGAACAAAAAACTGTGAAAATCATTCAGAAGATATTTGATGAAAAAGCAGCTGATTACATGATGGCCTTGGTAATCCATGAAGATGATGTGAATAAAGACACCATAGAAGAAGCAATCAAACATCCAGATCTCAATGACTTTATCAGTCAGTGCGGTGGAGGATATCATGTTTTTAACAACAGAAACAAGGATCCCTCTGAGGTCAGAGAGCTGCTGAAGAAAATCAACACAATGACTGAGAGAAATGGAGGATGCTGCTACACCACCAGAAAGTTTGAAGAGGCAGAGAAAGCCATAAAAACAGAGATGGAACAACTTCAGAAAGAAAATCCAAAGATGACGGCCAAAGAAACAAGATACAAAGCAGAAAGAAGGAACGCATTTACTCTGGGAAATTGGGATGACATTATTGTTGGAGCTGCTGCTGGAATTGGCATTGAAGTTGCTCTTGGAGCTGGTTTTGGAGGTATAGGGGCTCCAGTGGGGGCTGCAGTAGGTGCTGCAGTTGGAGCTGCTGTGGGATTTAGAGCAGTAAAAGCAGTAAAAGCTGCAACTTTGAAAATGAAACTGAATGATTGTGTTACACAGTAATCAACGTTTATCAACAGCTGAATGAAAGTCAATTAACAAGACACTAGATGAAAATAATAACAGTAGCATTCACCTATTTATTTGAGTATGTGTTAGAAAGAGAATAAAAAGTCACCCAAAGAAGAAAGACAAAATATGTTAACGATAAGTATCTTTGGAACAACTGAGTTATTATTGCTCCAAAGAAGTTGGTATTGGAATTGGAGTGCATCTTACTCCTGGTGCTAAAGTTAAAAAAAAAAGGCAGCATTTAGATTACGTAAAATGAGTTTTGAAGCTGCGGTCTCACATTTAGTTTGATCTCTTGCATGATGTAATATGAATGAAACAGATTAAATTTACTAATCAAGATTGTTTTCTGTTCTAACAAAGAAACCTGAATGAACCAGTTCACCTTGATGAAGATTCACTGAGATGTTTGAGCTGATCAAACTGTGACGTTAAAGAACAGCAAGCATTTATTTCATTTTTTCTTCACTGTGATTGTGACCTACACCCGTTTTTACACTTTGGCTCGTGTAATTAGCTAAAGGATCAATAGTCAATGTCTCTCTTGGAGGACATTCCCACGGGGCTTAAATCTGTGGCTTTCACCATTTGAACTTAGAACTGAAGAAGCTTCTTGGAGGAGAGGTGAAATGCTTTCGAGCAACTTAAAGAAGTCCAGATGCTTCGAAAAAAAAATTATTTAGTGATTTGATGGAACAAAGCAAAACAAAGTTAACAGTTAAGTGAAAATAATCTGCACACAGAGGAATAGTAAAACTGCATCGGCCATCATGATGAATCAGTTTGTTTGGTTTCATGCAGCAGCACCACCTGCTGGACAAACTCTGACCTGCAGTCAAACTTCAAACAAAGTAGAAATATTTCATTCATCTCTGAACTTCAAGTGTGTGATCATCTCTGCAGTGGCGTGTCTAGAGAATTTTTGTTGGGGGGGCCAGGTAGGGGCACAGATTTGGAGAAGGGTGGCAGATGTAATTGGCAGATAATGTTTAAAAAAAAATTCTACCAACCGTTAACCATAATTCAATAACCCTGTAAACCTAATAACCGAATGCGCTTTTAACTCTTATTAGAATGA